ACCAAATGCCAACAATAGCAGGGATTGGGACAGGCCAAAGCCAGGAGCAGGAAATCCCATGTGGGTCGCCCATACTGATAGCGGAGAACCAAACCCCTGAGTCATGTACTGCCTCCTAAGGGACACCTTAGCCAGAATCAGGAGCAGAATCTGGACTTGGCTCTGGGAACTCTCACACAGGATGTGGGTGTTCAAAGCAGTTACTTAAGCAAATGCCCACCTCTTCCTGAGCCCTTTCAGAAGCTCCTGCTAGCCACCTTCCTCTCCTGTGCCATGTGTCGAATGGAGGGTTTGCATACATGGCTTACTACTGATTTGGAGAGGCAATAGAAGTTAAAGAATGCCTTTAAGGGTGAGTACTACCTGAAGAACTGTTGAATACAGGATCAATGAAAACTGGAGGAGGGAGAGAGCTTCTAAAAAAAAGAAGCTGAAGTGAAGCAATTATGTGGATCATAGCACACTTAGAAATGATATTACCTGGACAGATATTTTAGAATGCAGTACATTAAGGGTATTGGCAAGTACCCAAAATAAAAATTGAGAAAAGTTTTCTCTTGAAACACTGCAAATAGAAGGGTAAGAACATTTGTGGTTTGGCCTAATGGTTCTCTCCAACCCCCCAGATGCTACTAAGCTATAAAACCACAGCCATGTCAATTCAGAGTGCCACAGCAGACTTCGGGGTTGAAAAATTAATTGAAAAATTAGAGGGAACATTTGGAATGAGCTAATACCAAGGAGAGATACCCGCAATTTGAGCACAAATTTAGGCTACATTTTTAATCTGCTTACCTATAGAACCAAACCTAGATCCCACAGCCAAAAGCCACAGTGTCTCTCTCATTATGGCAGCTGAGTTTTCTGACCTTTTAAAAGTGTTGTATAAATTTTCATCACCATAACATATTACCTGACAAAGGCTAGATATAAAGAGGAGAGGCCCATTTGAATCATAAATGGGAGGCTTATTGCTTGCATCGGCTTACTTCTGGTAAGGACCTCATGGCTGATGAGAGATGACACTGGTGGGAGCCTGTCTGGGCAAGCCAACACATCTTAAACTAGAAGACAGAGCTGCCTCCTTTTATAATAACCCTTTCCAAAGTGAACTTTATGAGTCACATGAGAACTACATTCCCAGAGTATGCACCCTAATGACATAAGTATTTCCCAAGCAGGATCCCCATCTCATAAAAGTTCCACAGTACTTTTTAATGTCATCCTGTGGACCAAGATGGGAACCACAAATCACACTGAAGCTCTGATATAAAGTAAGTACGCATCTCAGTTGTGAGCAATTGGTACAGGAAAAATCTAAAAATCAAGGGCTTGAAGTGTCAGATGACAGAGTCCCTGCCGAGTACCTTGAAATTAGAAATGGAATTTCTGATATAAAAAATCTAGGGCACATCTTCAAACATGAGTGTAATGTTTGTCCAAGTCCTTAAATGATTCATCAAATTACACAGGCATATAGTATATACCAGGAGACAAGCTGACAGCATTAAGCATATGCCATTACATCAGAACATAACACGTGTCATGATGGGTTGACCCACCAACTGGTATGCCAGCATCCCGTATTCAAGTGGTAGTTTGAGTCCCATATAAGTTGCTTCCCATCCAGCTTCCTGCTAATGTGACGGGCAAGGCAGAGATGCTGGCCCAAGTACATGGTTTTCTGTTAATCACTTGTGGGAGACCAGGCTGGCATTACTGGTCCCTGCTTTTGGCCTGAGTCAGACAGGCCTCAGTGTTGCAACTATTTGGAGAGTGATCAGTAGGTGAAAGATTTCTCTGTGTCTCTCCTTCTCATTCTGTTTCTCTGCCATTCAAGTAAATAAATAAATAAATAAATAAATAAATAAATAAATATGGAAACAAATATTTTAAAAATAGAATGCAAATGCTACTAGTTGCTTAACACAGAAGATCATGTTTGCAGTTTGAGGCCACGCTGGTGAATCACATAACAAAAGTAGAGCAGATAAACCCAGTAAAATTCTGAGTCACTGCAGCACATTATATGATGTCTAGTAAACAAACAAAAAAATATTGATGGGCAGAAGTAGTGTGACCCCTATTCAAGAAGCATGGGAATCAATTAAAACGATGCCAAGTTTCCAGACATTGACTTTGCCGAGATCGAGCCTTTAAAGCCACTATTTTAAACATCTACGGAACTGGAAGAAATTACATTCCATGAAAGAAGATAATTGGGTAAATGATCTCTGTCAAAATCTCTTGGCAGTTCTTGCCTTTTCCTGTTGCATAGAAGTTTTAGAATCAGTGCCTGAGTTTGCTCAGAAAAGAAACTGTGTGGCTTTTAATGGGGATTCTGCTGAGTCTGCTTTTGGAGAGAACTGATAGTTTTATATTGCTGTATCTAAAACCATGAACATATGGAATATGTCTCCATTATTTGTAATTACTCTAATTTTTCTCAACAATGTTTTGCAATTTTGGTTTGGTAAGTCACTAACTTCTTTCAAATGTATCCCTGATATATCAATTTTGCCCTTTTGATGGGTAATACGAAGAAATGATTTATTTATTTCTGTACATTGATCTTGCATCTTGTGATGCTACTAAACTTTTAGAGTACCGAAAGTTTTAGATTTATAGAATTACTGTGAAGCTAGCGCAGTTTCTATAAGTAAACCTCATTCAAATTTTCTTGTGCTTGATTTTTTTTTTTTAAACTGGAAAGGTAGATTTTGCAGAGAAGGAGAGACAGAGATAAAAGATCTTCCAACTGCTAGTTCACTCCCCAAATGGCTGTAATGGTCAGAACTAAGCTATCCAAAGCTAGGAGCCAAGAGCTTCCTCCAAGTCTCCCATGTAGGTGAAGGGTCCCAAAGCTTTGGGCCATCCTCCTCTGCTTTCCCAGGCCACAAGCAGGCAGCTGGAAAAGAGGTGGAACTGTTGGGATGCAATTGGTACCCATTTGGGATACCAACACTTGAAGGGGGAGAATTAGCCCATTTGTGCTGGATCTATGAATTCTTTACAATATTCTACATACAAAGTCATGTTATGTGTGAAAAAATGAATTTTACTTCTTTTTCAATTTGGGTGCTATTCATTTCTTTTTCTCACCTCAACGTATTGGCTAGATTACCTACTTAACATTGGGTAGAACCGGTGAGCGCGATCATCCTTGAAAATGTTCCTAAGGGAGAAGGTGTTCTGAGGATCACATTATTAAGCACATTAATTTTAGGTTGTACAGAGATGTTGCTTTACAAGGTGGGAAGCTTATTTCTCTCATTTGCTGAAAATTGAGCTGTGAATGGCCACGGGATTTTGTTAGATATTTTTTTCTGTTTCTATGGAGATGATTATGTAGTTAATGTAATTCATTCTCTACATTGGGAATATTGTATTAATTATTTTCTCCCTGGCACTTTGTCCATTTTTTTTTTACAGTTTTTCCAAGGACATCCAAACAATCTGTTAAATAGTGGTGGTGACAGAGCTCAGCCTTGCATTATTTCTGTTCTTGCAGAGAATATGTTTAAAGTTTAGTATGTAAAATTTCGCTGATACTCCAGCAATGTAGGAAGGTTCCTTTTATTCCTTGGATGTTATGAATGCTTCATAACAAAACCCGCTTAACTTTATCAAAGATTTCTTTTTGCATCATTTGCTATGATAATTAAATCTTCTACTTCAACATATTATTATGGCAAATTAGATGGCTACATTTTTCTGATGTCAAATCATTCTTAACATTCTCTGGAAACATTATGGAGTACAACTTTGAAATGTAGTACTGGATTTACAGTTACTTTGTGAAAAGTGACCATATATGCACACATACATAAACAAATTGAGATCATCATTTGTAATTTATAACTTAATCTTCCTGTTATCTGGTTTGGAATCATTATATTAGCTACTGAACACATGTGTAGCTTTGTATTTGTTCAGGCTTTTTGAAAAGAGAGATTTGGGGTCACCACTTCATTTTTTTAATGCTCACTTAATTGTTAAAGTTGTATTTTCTTATGCTATCAAGTTTAGCCCCTTTTGGTCTAGATGTCTTAATTTCTCTGGGTTCAATTGAGCAAATGACTAACCAGCCATTTTCCAAGAGGTCACAGCACGCTGGGATCTTGATTGGCTAGATTTATTCCATCACTCTGTAATAACCACTGCAAAAATATAATTCAGTGGAAGCTTATAGCTTTTCCCTGGCTCCATCCTCACCTGGCATGTCAGAATCCACACTACAACAGAAGACAGTATACTAGTGTCATGTTAGGTGAAACAGAAAAGTACCACTAAAGAACAGAAAATAATGGAGGAATGCCGAAATTCTAGATGAAGGAAGGTTAACTTGGGTTACGGCATAAGTAGAAATGGGATCCTAGGTTACGGGAAAGTTTGTGAATAAATGAAACCAGAGCGAGGTAAAGGCATCCTATGGGTATCCCTGAAGGCAAGGGCTGTTTTGATTCCTTATCAACTCTGTCAAGTGCCTGTTATAAGGGCAATTACTTTCAAGTAGTGGGTAAATTGAAGGTCAGAGAGAGGGTCAGAGAGCCCCAGAAGGAACCTCGGAACTGGGTGCAGAAAAGCTTTTATTTAAAGAGCTACGCAGTACTGCCCACACTCCACAGCCCCCTTCCCATGTTCACGAAAAGAGGGCCAGATCCTCGCAGAGGGGAGCCATGAAGAGAGCACGGTTGTCCCAGATTTACAACAATACAAAGAACTTTGTGCTCTGAATTAGGAGCCCGTTACTTTGAGGGATCTGCTTTGTGCATTCAGGGAAATGAATCAACAGGGGGCACCAGAGTTTCCGTTAGGTCCTCAATGGTCCTCACACGCTTCGTCCAGGGTCATGGTGGGCACGAGGAGGAGGACCAGGCGTGGGCAGCAGCTCCAGGGCCGCGGCCACTCAGCGTCCGCTCACGCGCTTGCGCACGCGCCCCAGCCGCGGTCACTTCCTCCTGCGCATCCCACGGCCGCGACCGAGGCTGACCCAGGAAATGGAGGCTGCCGAGGAGGGGCCCGCCGTCGTGGCATCGCTTCTGCCCGAGGAGGTGGAGGCCGAACCCTCTCCAGACACGTGGGGGGACAGGCCGGGAGGCGTTGGTGTCTCTGACTTGACCATCCTGCATTTCAATGATGTGTACGAGGTGGACCCGCGGCCTGAGGAGCCTGTGGGCGGCGCAGCGAGGTGAGGGCCGCCATCTTGGCCGCCAGGTTCCCGAGGGCGCCTGTGTGGGCTGGGGTCGGGTGATGGTTTCGGAAACCTGGGACGTGGAAGCTGTCAGGGCTTCCCAGTGTACCCCCGTGGGGGTCGTTGTTGCAATTCCCTGGCGTTTCTTATTAGTAACTTGAATGGTTTCGTGGAAGGGGTTACTGAAGATCCACAACCCGTTTGGGGTATGTCAACGTGGGAACGAAAAGTCTTTTATTTAAATATGAACAGAGATAATATATTTACTCCAAAATGGGATTCAAATCCAGCTTTTCCGCTGATAATTCGTGTTATCTTGGACAAGGGATTACACTTGTGCGTCTTTCTTCATTTGTTATAAAGAAAAAGGAATAAAGAGAGGTGAGGTAATTTATGTAACACATCTGTATCACAGAGTCTCGCCCGGGTTAAGCACTCACCAGTTACAATTTTCTCCATCTTTTATTATAAAATTCTCAGTGCTCAGTGAGACACACAAGTATTGATAAATGGTAAGGTCGCCACATATTCTTGGCACATTTTTTTCCCCCTCCTTTGCCAAGACTTACACAAATTTCCAGAACGTGACCAAGAAAGGAGAACATTGACTGGAATTTAGAGGCTAGGATGTGGAGTTCCGGAGAGGGGAAAGATGTCAGAATTGGCGTGAGGTAGCTTAGGTTCTTGTAGGTTTGAACTTTTTTCTTCCTACTTGTGTGTTATGAAGCAAGCCATTTAGATCTCTGAGAATTTTTTTTTTTTAAGTTAGGAAGTTGGACCCTCTGCATCTGATATTGGTTCAAAGCTGAAATATATTAGGAAACAGAGACAATACAATGGGTGCTAATGCAAGACAGTGTTGTGTTACTGTAAAGAAGTAATGAGATATAAATCTTGGCGTTGTAGAAAACTGATTCGGCAGGAAGTTGGAATCCTTGGTTTTTGAGAATAATGCTGAACAGGTCTGTGATATGGTTCACGAGGTGATTTGGAACCAAGGAGAACATTAAGGGTAGTTTGGGGTGGGAGACATTGAAATGGGAGAACGTCTTTAGGAGGAGAAATAATTGTGGTAGGAACAGTCACTTGGCATCGAGAGTCCAGTGGATGCATTTGAGACAGCACACTCAGAGACTAGGAAGATGTGGTTTCTCAGTTAATGAATGTGTGTGTGTGTGTGCAGGAGCAACAGTTATGAGAAAAGGGAAGGGATTTGCAGTTGCACTCTTGCTTAATACTCAGGTAAAAATAGCATTAAAATGGTGCTGAGGGAGTGGATAGGGTCATGGGAACTGGTGTTGGAAAGAGAATGTTAAATCAGTTGAAATTGAACTACTTGCTGACTGTCCTGTTTAGGGGCCAGCATGATGGCTCAATGGAGTAGTCCTCCGGCTTCAAGTACTTCAAGTAGTCAAGTGCTGAGCTCCCATGTGGGAGCTGGTTCTTGTCCTGGCAGGTTTACCTCCGATCCAGTTCCCTGCTTATGGCCTGAGATAGCCGAGGAGGATGGCCCAAAGACCTTAGGATCTGCGTGGGAGAGACCCAGAAGCAGCTCTTGGCCTCTGATAAGCTCCAGCCACTGCAGCCGTTTGGGGAATGAACCAGCAGTTGGCACAACTTTCTGTCTGCCTCTCCTTCTCTCTATAAATCTACCTTTCCAATAAAAATAAATAAATCCTTAAAAAACCAAAATCCTGTTTAAATTCTGTGACTTCACAGTGGAAAAGTCTGTTTTGTTTTTTGTGGCAGTACCCATTTTGGAGGTTATTCAGTACCTCACAGTAGGGGTAAGCCATTGTGTCCCCGCTTATAGCTTCTTGTGTGTTTTCAGAACAGGCTGTCAGGTCGGTAGACACTCCAGCATCTACTTAGAATCACATGCTGAGGGTCAGGAATCAAGGTTTATACACTTGGTTTTCTTCAAGAGTTAGAACTAGGCTATTTTGATTTATCTCAAAATGCAAACTACTCAGAGCAGAAACTTTGTTTTTGCTATCACATTATTCTCATGACCCATGATAATATCTGGTACTAAGTAGGTACTGAAATATATACTTCTCAAATATAGGATTATTGAAAATGCTGGTACTTCTTGAACAGATAGAATGGCTCTGATTTTTGATGGTATCTTAATCTGACTGCTAGTGGTGTGATGGTGAACGGAATTGTGTTGATTTTTGGTCACTGATCTATTTTTAATAAAATATATATTTTGAAGTGTTTTGTAAACAATATAGTACAGTTTACACATGTCTCCTCTTTATCTGATATTATTAAATTTTTTACTCAATGAGCCAAAGTCAGTATATTATCATTATTAATCAGCTTCCATACTTAATTTAGATGTTCTCTTTCTCTGTTTTTCCTAAGATTCATTTATTTTTATTGAAAATGCAGATTTAAAGAGAAAAGGAGAGACAGAAAGATCTGTCCATTGGCTCACTTCCCAAGTGGCCTCAACGGCCAGTATTGTGCTGATCTGAAGCCAGGAGCCAGGAGACTCTTCTGGGTCTCCCATGCGGGTGCAGGGTCCCAAAGCTTTGGGCCGTCCTCGACTGCTCTCCCGGGCCACAGGGAGGGAGCTGGATGGGAAACGGGGCCACCGGGATTAGAACCGGAGCCCATATGGGATCCCGGGCGTGCAAGGCGAGGACCTTAACCACTACGCCATCGCGCCGGGCCCCCTTTTTAAGTTTTTAAATATTTATTTATTTTTGCCATGGAACTTTTGGATATTTATAACACATTCACAGGCCATATAAAATTAGCTAAAAAAAGAAAAATCACCATGCTCTAGATTGATTGAATTTCGAGTCTTGCCTGAGATTGCATTGGCAGGACAAGACCCCCTGTTTCTGTGGGCCTTCTACACTCTGGCTGGGTTTTCCTAGCCCTGCACAAAGCGCTGTTGCACTATCATTGGTGCTCAACGCTCATGGGCTCTTTCTGGCTGTGAGAGTTTAGACTCGTTCTTGATGACCTTGATGCTTTTGAAGTCACTTCTGCATAGCCAAAACTTTAAGGAGTAGTGAGTCCTGTTCTACTTCCTTGAGTATCTACATACATTATTTAGAATTCCGAATGGGACTCATTTCCTTACTCAATTTTTTGTTTAAATTAGTCTCTTCAGGTTGTGATAAAGTATCACAAGTCAACTGATTTGAAAGAATAGCTATTGATTTTTTCATGATTCTGAAGGTTGGAAGTCTGAAACCAAGGCTTTGGGGTTAAACTGCATGTTTTGGGGGCCAGACCATAATCAAACGATGGCAAACTCTTCTCAATGTTTTTTGTTTTTGAAAGATTTGAAAAGTGGAGACACGAGCTGCTGTTCTTGCCTAACTGGCTGCAACAGCCATGGCTAGGCCAGGTTGAAGCTAAGAGCCTGGCATTTCTTGCGGCTCACTTTCTCTTCCTGGGCACATTAGCAGGAAGCTGGTCAGAAGCTGACCAGCTGGGACATCAGCTAGCACTTTGATATGATGGTAGCATTGTAGGCAGTGGGTTCAACTGCAGTGCTACGGTGTTGGTCCCATTTTTGTTTCTGAAAACATTACCGTCAGCATGAAGGCATGTCAGAATCTGAGCAGCCAGGTCTTGAATTGGCTCCTCCTATGGGATGCCAGTGGTGCCACAGGCAGCAGTTTAACATGCACTGAACCCTAGATCATACATTTTTGATAGCAAGGCAAAGGTTATTTTCTATTAATCTTGTGAATACAGAGCAGTGTGCAGCGGTTTCTCTGGCAGAATGTAGCAATTTATAAACTCTTTTGGAACTAAGTGCTTCACATATTCTATTCCTAGATCTATCCCCTAGCCCTGACCTCTCTCTCTTTCAGTGCTACATTTTGATGTGCCTGTTGGGAAAACTCACTTTGATGTCTGCACCGATAGTATATTCTATGTCTAAAATTGAAAGCAGCTTTTCCCCAGACCAACTCTTTCTTGTAACTTTGATCTCTCATTCAATGTATTTATTTACTCCAAGTAATTCTTACAGCCTTTGCAAAGAGTAAAACTGTATTTGTGGCCCATTTTTTCTTGCTTTTCTTTTTTAAAAGATATATTTAATTTTTATTGGAAAGCCAGATATACAGAGAGGAGGAGAGATAGAAAGATCTTCCATCCATTGACTCACTCCCTAAGTGGCTGCAATGGCCACAACTGAGCCAATCCGAAGCCAGGAGCCAGGAGCCTATTCTGTTTCCCACACTGGTGTAGAGTCCCAAGGTTTTGGGCCGTCCCCGACTGCCTTCTCAGGCCACAAGCAGGGATCTGGATGGGAAGTGGGGCCCCTGGGACTCAAACCAGTGCCCATATGGGATCCCGGTGTGTGCAAGGCAAGGACTTCAGTCACTAGGCTACTGCACAGGGTCCATTTATGACCTACTTTAACAGCTTTTTGTTATCTCTGCTTTCTTTTGTAACATGAGTCTCAACTTTTGCATGCACACTCTTTTGTGTGCCTGAGAGTCACATGGAGTGCTTGTTCAATGACAGATTTACGGACCTTCATCTGGAACTGTTGACTGTGGAATTTGGATGGTGTCTGAGAATCCAAATTTCTAGTAAATTTCCTGGTGATGATGGTGCTGATAATCAGAGGAACTGCTGGTCCCTTCCGCGTTAGATGGAACATCAATCAGTCATCACATATGCCTTCTCTTTGTCCTTTTTTGTAAGTCTTATTTTAAGTGTTTATTTTCACCTCCTTGAAAGACAAATTGAGAGAGAAGGACATAAAAAGAGACTGAGAAAGAGAAAAATGTTTTATCTACAAGTTCATTTCCCAAATTCTTGTAATATAGCTGGGCTAGGCTGCCTGGAAGCCCACCAGGTGTGTGGTGTGGCTAGCAAAGGCTATCCTTTGCTGCCTTTCAGAATACATTGGCAAGAAGCTGGATTGGAAGTGTTGTGGCCAGGACTTGAACCAGCACTCCAATATGGGGTGTATGCGGGCTTTGGGCATGCCAACCAGTGGTTTTCCTCACTGT